TGATTAGATTTGCATAACAATACAAATTTAAATTTCTCGAAGCATTGTTTCAACAAATGAAGAATACTGACGATCGATTGACTAGATTTTACATATTTCATTAGCAAGATAATTATTATAAATTATTTATATTATCAAATGCTATTAAAAATATTGTATGAAATATTTAATTCTTCATAATACTTTATTATTTTTTAGATTTTCATCTATTTCAATATCGAGAATTAGAATTTCAAAAATTCTGAGAAAAATCAAAATTTTTTACTTAATACTTTGTAATTCAATAAATTTTTTGAATAAAAATTATTAAAATTATTATTATTAATTAGTAAAAATATACAGAAAAATTTAGTTATTAGAATTTAATAATTATTAATTTTTTGTCTCAGAGTACCTATTTATCTGTACACTATATTGTTTCATGTAATTGTGCATACAGAGTAACTTAAGATATTGAATCTAATTTTTAATTAAAATTGTTTTGAATGAATAACTATAGAATCTTATTAAAATTATAAAAAAGACATATTATGAAATTCAGCAGAATATCAAATTGTGAAATATATTATTACATAAAATATGTAAAGTTAATATATTCATGTATCTTTGTCTTCGTCATATCGCTTCCTCACATCACCTTATCTAACACAAACTTAAATTATTTATATATTTAATAAATAAATTCAACTGAAACTATTTTCATATATCAACTTCAATTTTTCTTTTAGAATTCTAAAATCGAATTTCCACAAATTCTAAATTCTTCATATTAATACCTTATATAAAGAATAATATAAATACATATATTTATATTAGAAATAGAGGTTACGATTATGGACAAGTAATTTTCAAAAGACATTATCCGTGCCGTATTATCAAAATTATCGAATAATCGAATTTCCAATATCACATTATTGGAATTCACCTACTACTCACAGATACTTATACACTCATAAAATGGACATTACTTTCCCTTAAAAACGAAATCAACAAACATCCCACTCCCATAAAAGAAACCATTCTACGAACGAGGAGTCAATTTTCAGAAATTACCCATCGATCAATTATAACCGTCGAGAATCTCCGTTCAATTGATTCTCGAACGGAACCCTGCGAGCAGCATTTTCAACGAGACTTCAATGAAACCCGGGTGGCGGCTCCCTTATCGCCTCCTGATCTCGTAAAGGGCCATTGTTGAATGCGTTCACGTAATTCAGAAAATGTGTACATGTACGTTTCGTGTCGGGCATATAGCCGATCCGCCTCCTTCGTGGAGTTTCTCGTGTTTGCCGTGTACCGGTGGCCAGAATGCACCGCAACGGAAGTACGTCGTGATTTGCCGCAACGCCGGAAACGGCGCACGTGCGTCGTCGTTTTTGTAATTCATTCAACCGCGTTCCAGGAACCACGTTCGGGGATGCTGTACACTTTTCAACGGACAATGAAAACGGCCCAAAAATTGTCATCGATGTTGCAGTGTTAAGAAAGTTGGAAAGGGGGCAGGGGAAATTGGTTTTTGTGAGGTTATGTAAGGCGAGAGAAAGGGAAACGGAAGTTACATTTTGTTTTTACGATGGGTTATTTTACGGATGGTGTTGATACTTTTATCGAAATGAATTGAAAATGATTGAAAGATACGATTCTATGTTCTAAATAAAGCCATATCTATATTTTCTTTAATAGTTTTTTCTTTTTTTGATGGAATATCGTAGAAGGAAGAAGAATGTACTCGAAGAATGGAGATTTTGAAATATTGAAAATTATTTATTTTATTTATATTGTAGAAATAAATATATATTTTAAATTCGAATCTTTTAATATATAATTTTCTGCAATAAAAGATATTGGAAATAGAAATTTAACATTTGGAAAGATTATAATTATAATTTGGCTAGATAATTTTGTTTGCAATTCGTTTTATGAAAGAAATTATAAGAAAGTTATTACATTTGATTTTCTTAATTTCAGAATTTAATTCTGTTCTAAATAATTGGAAAATAATAATTTCATTTTTTTGAAAGTAATTCTACGATTAATATTTATTATAAAGGATTACAAAGGATCAAAATGTAAGAAAAATTGAACACTTGCAATAAGAATATTGGAAAAAAAAATTCATTTTTGACAATTTATTGTATTAAATTATTATATATAATAAATTTAAAAAAATTCTACATATTATGTAAACTTTGCAGATGTAGATTTTAAATTATTTTGTGAAATAAATAGCAGATTCTATTATTTAATACAATATTTCCTTAACAAAACAACAATAAATCACCAAATTGTATATTTTGTTAACAAAAAGTAATTATTTAGATGTTTTCACTCAAATTAAAGATAAAATTCATTAAAAATTGAAATAAAAATTTATCAATTCAATTAACTATTAATTGATATATAAAAATATATTAACTAATATATTTTGTTTAATATCAAATGAAAGCAATAGTTTTATAAATTTTATAAGGAATTCTTTGAATTTTCTTGAAGTCGTTACAAATGCTTTCTCTTCAAGGTCTTCAATTGAGCAAGAAAAGACGTACAAAGAGATTCTTAGTAAACTAATAATTGCGTGGTAAAAAGAATAAAAGGTCATTCACCGATTCATTGCATTGTTCAGCTAGGTCAAGAGGAACGCCAACGCTGTTCAATGGCGACTAGGAATTGACAGTTCGCACCTTTCGCAAGCCGACAATAAAAGTGGTCGTTCGACTCGGTGTAATCGCGCCTTGCAAACATGGCAAAGAGGCTGCTACATTGACGTGTGTGTAACACTCGTTACAAAACGAATCGCACTCGTGTTTCCATTTATGTCGATATTCCTCGACTGTAATGAGTTTTGGTCGTGAATGTTTGGTGAAGATAGTGATTGGAGAACTGTGCACCGGAAGAGGTAATTGTTACGAGCTGTAATGGGCATCTTTCAAATGAAAAATGGATGATGGGTTGAGAATTATTTGATATTTCTTAAAAAAGTAAGAAATCCATTTATGCGTGGAAATAAAATTTGCATAAGTATAGATATTCGAATTATTTGATTATTGCTTTATTGTTAGTAATAAATAAAACAAAAATTTTCTATTTAACCGTATCTACTTTTTTTGCAAATAAAATTAAAATATCTAATAAATACAAAAAAAGTGATTACATTAAAACGTAAAAATTCTTAATAAATTATTCAAAATAAATTATCTACATATTAAATTAATTTAATAAAGAATAATATAATAGAAAGTTACATGTAACATAGAATTCGACCTTTGAAAAATTAAAAAATCATATCACGTTCAAACTTTCTTTTAATGATATATAAACGTGAAACGTATGTTATAAATACTTTCTCTATTTTGAAGTTTTGTTAATGCTGCATGTAGTTTTATTAATCGAACGTTGATTCGTGTTTTTTCAACTTCCGTGATTTTACAAATCTCCGGATTTACAAATCACTAAGTTTAATTGATTGACTTATTTCAATATGAATGGATGTAATTATACTCGTGACGAAAAGTTAGAAACTGGTTCCAAACGAACGGTATAAATCTCCCACTGGTTGACTCGAATTAACCGGATTTCGATCGTGTGTAACTGAATATGACATAACCAAGTAACCAAACATATGTTAACGCCTGGGCTGTGACAGTCACATTATAGAATCGATTAATAATCAGAGCATCACAGACAAAAAATATCTTTGTGTTCGTATTTCTGATCAAGATATTATAATGAAGATATTCCTATTGTGTTTAGTTTACATGACAATTTTAAAGTTGTAAAAGGAATACTTAAGAATTGCTTGAAATTGATTGCTAATTTTGTTTTGATGAATGAATAATGATTTCTAGCCTAAATTTATTTAAAGCAGGAGTAAAAATTTGTAATTTGTAAAAAACATCGAAATTGTTCAAAAAAAAAAAATAAAATTCAAAAACAAATTAACATGTAATAGTAGTATCGATTTTGTAAACATTTATTTATAATAGTTATAATATTTAGAGTTATTTATAATAGTAATTAAAATATTCTTGAATTTATTTTTTACATCTCTTCTTTAATGTTAATAATCGAAATAAATTTTTTTCTGTTGAAAACTTCATATTTCAATGATAAATGTGAAGATATATACATGTTGAAAACGAGGAAAGCATTTACTGCATGTAAAATAGTCAACTTATAAATTTATTTGACAGTCATTGCAGTGAGACATTGTTTCCTCTCCGTACTATTCAATGACACTGCAGTCGTCCAAAAACGCCTCTGCGCGTTCCGGTAACAACGATTAAGAACGTTTTTCGCGCATGTATTATAATTCCGGATGCAAACATAAAGTAATTCAATCCCTACATCGAGCATTTAATAAACCTAATACACGATAACCTGTCCAACATCAATAAACAACCGGAAGCCAAAAACTCGTACTAAATTAAATCTAAAATAACAGATCTATCACCCTCGAATATTAACCACCCTCGCAAATCTCTCAAAAGTCGATCACCCAACACGTGAACGATCGCACTGATCTCCAAAAGCTGTGAACATTGCGATCTATCCCCACTCTTACCACCCACCCTC